GCCCGTGAGAGAGCCATTGGAAATGGGGACCTGGTTGCCATGGTTACCGTGAGGCCTGAGGCCTAGGGGTGCTTCGTTGCCACGGTTACTGCAGGCCTGAGGCCTTGCAGGCCCATGGCGGCTCCCCCCCGGGCCAGGGCGATGGCAGCGCTGTGTGGAGCTAGGGGATGTGCACTGGGGCTCAGTGTGGCCATGGGTGCTGGGCTGGTGAATGGGAGGTCCCACACCAGCTCTCACCAGGTGGGGAGGAGCAGCCTTGCAGCCCCCCTTGCCCGCCATAGGGCTGTGGTGTGAGGAGGGTGTCCACACTGGCACAGAGACGGGGACCACCATGGCCAGTGGAGCAAGGCAACGGCGGTGCCTGGTAGGCACCCAGCCGAGCCCACCACCCGCGGGGTCTCACCGAGAGGGAGCAGCGCCATTCCCACTGCACCAACCGGCGCCAGGGCCCATCCAGCCCCCGTGCTCGCCCCATGACGGCGCGGTGCATTGCCCCTGGAAAATGCCAGAGCGGTCAAACTGTTGAGTCATTTGTGCCCAAGATTATCTGTGCAAACAGCCGCCCCGATTATTTTTTTTTTTATTATCAAATTTTTTTTTTCTTTTTCCCTAAGAATGTGGCTCAGACCATGGGGATGAGCAGCTGAAATGTCCGGGGATCAGCAGGACAATGCCAGAGCAAGCATTGTGCTGACAGCTCTGCAAACGCTGGCACCGGCTCCCGGCCAGCAGCACCCTATAAAAGCTGAGCCGCTGAAGTAGGCAAACATTACATGGGCGAAGCAGCAGTAACCGCCTGAGCTAGGTGAGTCCTGGAACCGATTCGTACCTCTCCCACCTCGTCCCCTCCTCATCCCCACTGCCGCTGGTGGGCTGGGCAGACACCCTTCCTCCTGCCTGGTGGCAAAAGACACCCAGAGGGACCATCGCCATTTCCTGTGGCAAAAGACAGGCTCACACGTCCCCGCTGGCAGCTGGGGTGGCTGAGAGCCCCTCTACCATGGGGCACCTCATTCCTAGCACCCACCTATCCTTGGTCCCCAGCATGGCACCCTGGTCGGCATCTCCCACCGCTGGCTGGGGCTGGCCATGGGAGCCCACTATGCCTCCCAAGGGAGACATTGCCAGGATGCTGGGGCAGGGAGAGGGGAGCAGGCGAGTCTGTTTGACACCGCCTGGCACGGGACAGCCCGTGCCCCCCATTGCAGCTCCTCACACCAGCTCAGGGGTGCTTTTCTGACTGAAGGCTGGGCATTGGGGAAGGAGAAGAGGGAGCTGGGCACCATGCCTTGATGGGTAAGAGGGCTCTGTGCCACAGCCAGGAGCAGGGAAGGGGCACCATGGCAGTGAGAAAGGAGCACCCTGCTATGAATGTGTCCCAGAGCCCCCAACCGTGCCCCCAACCCATCCTGCAGCATGCAAGAGGGTCTCGCTGCGACTGGCGCAGCTTGTCCCTGCCAGCAGGGCAGCGGGCACAGAGCTGGCCCCTGGCCCCACGAGCAGGCAGCAAGGGTGGCACAGGGGCATGCTGCAGCACAAATGGCTTTTCCTTCCTTCTCCAGACACCGTTCCAGCAGAAAAGATGGCTCAGACAAACCCTCTGCCCGTCCCCATGGGCCCGTGGAAGGTACGTCCTCGCACCCCTGGTGTCTTGCCTTTCCTGGTGCGCAGGTGGGGGCCAGGGAGAGGGGCAAAACCAGTCTTCCAGGGCCAGAAAAAGCTGCACAGCGGGCAGTGAGACAGGGGGGAAGCAAACGAAGCAAGGCAGCCCTGTCCTCTGCTCATGGGAACTTGCCTTCCACCCGCTCAAACACCTCCCGGGTGTTTTTGTAAGCCTCTTTGCAGCACCCTGGCCCTGCTGTGCCCTGCTCTCACCAGTCCTCCTGTGCCAGGCAGGCACAGCAGTGTCCGAAAACCACAGGCTAGGATTTGCCCTCCCTGTTGGTCCAGGCAGGGTGAGCAAGGGCAGGTACAAGGGCTGCAAAGGGGGCAGTGGGCATGGCCGAGCAAAGTGGGGAGCAGCCCTGAGGGGTCTGGCCACAGCTCCGGGGACGCAGAGGGAGGAGGAAGCCAAGAGGGAGAGGAGCAGCACGTGTGCGAGCAAGGCGCCACGCCAAAGCCTGGAGCTGTGGCGGGAGAGGAGAGGAGAGGAGAGCGCCAGTTGCAGCCCCCCAGGCAGTGCCCACTTGTCCTTTCCCCCGTTAATCCTCTTTGCCCTAGAGCGTTCGGAGCAGAGGCCGGGAGAACCGCCAGCCACAGCCCTGCCACCCGCCCGTCCCAGAACGGCTCCGCTCCTCTCTGCGGACGGCACTGCTGCCCCGGGAACTGATCTCCGCAGGGGTGAGCAGGAGAGCGGAGCGGGGGCCGGCGTGCGGCTCCCCCGACACCAAGGCAGGGCGCGGCGCGGCCAGCAGTGCAGGGCGGCACGGAGGCGTGCGGGGCTGCGTCCCAGCCCAAAGGGGTGCCCGGTGCACGGACGGAGCGCAACCTCCGTCTCGAAGAGACACTGAATCGCCCGGGGCCACCACCGGGCAGTTCCCAACTCGGCAGCTCACTCTCCATTCTAGATCACCGTCTATGACCAAGAAAACTTCCAAGGCAAGAGGATGGAGTTCACCTCGGCCTGCCCAAACATCATGGAGTGCGGCTTCGACAACATCCGCTCCATGAAGGTGGAAAGCGGCGCGTGAGTACCCAGCAGCCGATGGAGGGGATGCTTTCCCAGGCGGGCTGGCGGGGCGAGGGGTGCCTGAGTGTAGAGCGGGGCCGGTTGTCCTTGCTCTGGCATCCGAAACTGCCTCGCTAGGCTAGGAGCAGGCAGGTTTGGAGCTCCCTGGTGCTCCTAGGGTTGCTGCCCAAGGATGCGGCAAAGACCGGTGCTCAGCAAGTGGCTCTTGAGCTCAGCCTGTGTAACCTCATGAAGCACCGTGCCTAACAACCCCCTTTCTTACCCCAAGGCCCCCATGTGCAGCCCCCTAGGGCCACAGCAGAGCCTTCCCGCAGCCCGCGCTGGGATGCCCCAGTTGCAGACAGGGTTTGGGAACAGAGCCGGGCTTCTCCCTGCCCACGGGGATCTTCCCTGGCACAGACGAGACATCTCCCGAGCTGCTCTGAAACACCGCGTGTGAGGAGTGGTCCCCACGGCAAGCGTCCCACTGGGGCCGGGGAAGCAGACAAGATAGATTTGCGCTGCTATATTTAGGATTTGTAATGCTAATGGGATTACGGCGGCATGCGTGCTCGCGCAGTAATCAGCTCACTGCTCCAGTTGACGTGTTCCTAATCGGGTTGGTCACCTTGCACAGGGAGAGGCTGACTGTGGGATCGGGGCTCAGTTTGGGTCAGTGACCTCCCTCAGCACCCCATGTACTCCATAATAGGAGGGCTGTGGGCTGCACAGCTTGTGCCATGCTCCTTCCAGCCTCCAGCCTCCCCACTGGGCTGTGGTTGTCCCTTCTCATGGGACCCTTCCCATGAGAGGTCCCCACGCTGGGGACAGGCTCTGGTGTGGGCATCACCAGCGCTGGCAAAATGTCCCCTGTGGGGCAGAGGCACCCCCTCACCTCTCTGTTTTCAGCAAAAAGGGGGACCCCAAAAGGGGAAGGCCAACAGCTCCATGCCCTGCCTCAACCAGATGAATTCTGCCTGGTTTGGGCATTAGGGATTCAGGTCTTCCCAGCTGTGCCAGGTTGTAAGTGGGAAACGAGTAAGAAATGAGGCCTTTGGGAGAGAAGGGCAGCGTGGATGTCCTGCAGCATCCTAGTGCGATGCTGAGCAGCATAAATAACCACGGAGTTCAGGCTGGGCCCCTTGAGGGAGGGACCCATCACTTGCCACAGCCGCGCTCCCTGGGTGCTCTGCCCACATCCAGCACCGCTTCCCAGACTCCAGCCTCCTCCTCCTCCTCCTCCACCTCCATCCGTGCCCTGGTGACAGCCCCAGGAAGCCCTGACAGCCCTCGCTCTGTTTTGGCAGCTGGGTGGGTTACGAGCACACCGGCTTCTGCGGACAGCAGTTCATCCTGGAGAGGGGCGAGTACCCGCGCTGGGACGCCTGGAGCGGCAGCAACGCCTACCACATTGAGCGCCTGATGTCCTTCCGCCCCGTCTGCTCCGCTGTGAGTGTCCCACGCAGCTCCCGCATCGCTGAGCCCTTAAAATGGTCCAGGCAATAGCACCAGGCCAGGGGGGTGAGGTTAGGGAGGGCAAACACAGACAAGCCAGGGGCTTTTCGGGTTGGGGTCAGCTCTTCTCCCCCCACAGCCAGCAGGATTTGTTCTTCTTGTCCTGTTTTAGAAAACTTTTTAAGTAGCTGTGCCGTAGCTGTCACTGACGCCTTTCCTGCCCCATCCTGGCCCAGCACCACCCTGCTCAGCACCCCCACACATCTGGGTTTTGGGAAAACCAGCCCAGGGCCTGAACACCTCCCTCCCCAGAAATCCCTCCTAGCAATGCCATGGCCTCACCCTGTCCCCATTCCTGCATCCCCCTCACCCCCTGCTCTCCCCTCCAGAACCACAAGGAGTCCAAGATCACCATCTTCGAGAAAGACAACTTCATCGGCCGCCAGTGGGAGATCGGGGATGACTACCCCTCACTGCAGGCCATGGGCTGGGCCAACAACGAAGTGGGCTCCATGAAGATCCAGTGCGGAGCGTAAGTGACGGGCGAAGGGACAAACCGCTGCCATACGGACACCCCGTAACCCCCTTGCTTACCTCCTGTCCTCCTTTTCTTACAGTTGGGTTTGCTACCAGTATCCCGGGTACCGTGGCTACCAGTACGTCCTGGAGGCCGACCACCACGGAGGGGACTACAAGCACTGGAGAGAGTGGGGGTCGCACGCCCAGACCTCCCAGATCCAATCCATCCGGCGTGTCCAGCAGTAGCTCCCCACTTCCCACTGCATCTTCGCAAGGTTTCCAAAGCTCACCGGCTCCCTTTTGGTGCTAATACTCCCTTCCCAAAATAACCACCCCTTCTCGTACTGTAACTGCTTATGGATCACCACTCCCAACCGGTACCAACTGCCACAATTGCCAATAAATGTGACTGAAAGAAAAAGACAAACCAGCGTGGTGGGTGTTTGTTGTTGTGTGTGGGACTGAAATCACTCATCCCCATCCTGGTAGCAGGGACCAGACTCTTCCAGGCTCAGTTTACGCAGGACTAAAGCTTGGTGGGGCTCACACCAAGGCAAGTTCATCTCCCCAGGGCAAAAACCCCTCGGTGACGCAGCTCTGTAGCCGCGTGGCTTCCTTTTCTCCCTGCCCTCCTCTTCCCCAAGCAAGGGAAGGGACACCACAGTCCCAGACCCTTGTCCCACCAGCACCTCCCCACACTCACACACACACCCACACACACACACAGAGCCACCAGGCCTGAGGGACCCGAAATTCGAGTCGCCAGCCACACGGCATCCCCAGGACCAAGAGATGCTCCCCGAGAGCGCAAAAAAAGAAAGTCACACCGACACCCACAAACTTTAAAATTTTTATTCAACAATTTACATCACTTATTGTCTTAACGTATTCGATCTACACAAATTTCCTTTTTTTTTTTTTTTTTCCTGATAAAATAATAAAATTTGGATAAATTTTGAAGACCTGTCGGTGCAGAATAAACAAAAAATTTCAGGGTTTCTTTTTTTTTTTTCTTTTTTTTTTTAAAACATTTAGTGTGAAGTATGACATCATTGGTAAAGATACATCATGCCATTACAGCTCATGGACATTCCCTATCCTTACAGCCCGTGACACCGCCCGGACCAGCGCAAGGGGCTGTGCCAGACACAGCTACAGCAGGGAT